TTACTGTGTTAGTCTGCCTTGTTTACCACGTTTGGGCATGAGTCATCAGAATGGAATGCAGGGCATCAACCAATAGGCATGCAGCTTTCCTCTATACTTCTTGCTGATTGGCTGTTGGGATTTAACTTGATTAACACCTGCACAGAAGCATTTCCATACTGACAGTATGTCTGTATTCAAGTGTTTTGGTAGGTATTTCAAGCTTTCCTGCTCCAGCATTGGAATGCCGGGCATGGACGTTTTTTTTTTTATTTTGAAAATCAACAGGTTGCATTATGCAATTAAAAATCCTAACCAATAAAGTAGGGAATAGCTATCCAACTGTTGTTTTAGTTGTATTTTACTTCATATTATAGTTATATCAATGTAAATCATTGTTTTCCCTTGTGTTTCCCATTCTTTCCCTGCCATGTCGTAAAATGTGGTGAACCCATCGCTGTATTTGCTCCAAAGCAAATATTGGCCTTTCTAGTTTTGTATAGTTTAACATGATCACATCTTGAAGCCCAAATGTGAAATTTGTTGGGACTAAGAGAAATTGTACATTGTACATTTTACATGTCACCCAAAAATGTTGGCCACACCCTTTAGCATTGGGGCTTCTGCTTCATTACTGAAGAAATACATGATTGTAGGAGTACTGTTTGAGTAAGCCAACCTATAAACTACTAGATATAAAGATAATTAGGCCACCTTTTTCTATCACAAGCTTCAAGACAGTGCAGTTAAAGCCCAAAATTTGCATTCCTGTTTTGAGAAACCTATCCCAGGGACCAACCAGTGATGAAGGCTGACCAGCTAATCTTTTGTCCAGAGTGTCACGGAGCAAGCACAATGATCGCAGTCAATTAATCTTACCCAGGCTGACCTCATTCATCAGTGTGATTGCCATCTAATTGTGTGGACTGGTATATAGACTTCCCAATCAGCGCTGCACGTATACATGTACATGCGAAAATGAGTCAGAAAACGCGCATCCGCCATTGTTGTCACCTGCGTTGAACTAGACTTGCTGAACTGGGTGTTGTGTCGTGTGAGCTGTCTGACATCACACTGTTTTTATTGTCCTGAATTATCACAACGAAAGCAGCACGACAAAAGCCCGGTTGATGGGCTGTTTGTTTGACAAGACGGATAGACCCATTACTAGTGCTGGTGGGAATAGCCCGTGCATTCATTTATTTCGGCATGATGCATGGAATGTACGGGATAATTGCTGGGGGTGAGGGGAAGCCAGATCGATCAAATAACAAATGAAAATGCAAATGCCTTGGAAGTCCCGGCTATTGTTCAAAGTGTTTCTGATGAGGTTAAAAAACAGTAGTTTTTGCAAGTTTGTAGTGATGACCTGGATGACCTGGTGTAGCTGGAAAGGGGTGGGGTGGGGGGCAGAGGAAGTGGTAGCTATGACTGAGCAGTGTCACACATTGTATATGCCTGATTACATCTACAGTCAGTAATTTTGAGATTGCGGTACACAGCACGCAACTACCGCTCCATTGATAGATGGACAAGAATAGGTTAACACCCAATGATGACTTCTCATATTGTTATTCATGTTTATCATTAGTGGCTTAGAAATTGGATACTCCCTATGTTCTAAATCTTTGATAAGAGGATTAACTGAGTCTACATACGTCTCTTAAATTACAACTTTTAATGTCATTCTCTTCAGAAACATATTAGACACGATTGGCTGGTTCCTTGAAAACACAGTGTGAAATATACAGTTAAACTGTGGTTGGTCTTATTATCCCAAGTCTTAAAATGTATAATATGCTGCAGATATCTGATTGAAAAAAAACTTTAAAACTGTTCAGAGTCAAGGCATTGGCTGACAGGCTAAGGAACTAAAAGTGTTGTCTATTACACAAGTCATGTACTTTAACCTTGATGCCTGTCAAAACCTAGTATCACTAAGAGTTTGTGGACTATGAAACATCTATGTCTTAATATGTAGAATTCATAATACAATAACAAATAACAAATACACCTCTTCTCTAAGATACCGTATAATTCTAAGTATCCATCTTCTAGTTTCCCCTACATTTCTTTTCTATGCTGCAATGTATGGCCGAGACCTCAGCTTAGCAACAGTACACAATAACATTTGCTATAAATCATGCTGACAAGAAGCACTCAGATGCCATGGGTGTTGACTTTGTGTTCTTGTGAAGTTCTGTAAGTTCCTAGTATTTGCAATGTACTGTGATTCTGAAGGCATAATCTATGACATGATGTCAGATGTAACAAGCTGCCCATAGTTCAAACACAGACAAAGCACTATGACCAGAATTGACTCCAGTACAGTTGCATGTGTTTCAAGGTCATTCAGGACATGTTACAGACATGGTCTGGAAACAGACCCAGCAGGTGGTAGACAGGTGCTTTTCTTGTTGTACTTTCATCCGTGGTCATGCGTTTGGACTGCAACATCAATAATTTGTACAGTCACAATGAAACCTATGAATTTGTGACAGTTGGTAGTTGTTGCTCAGACAGACAGGATTAATTCGTATTCCTTTTTGAGCTTAGACAGGCAATTACAGAGCCATGATATCAAAGGCAGTTGCCCATTTAACATTTCATATATTGCAATATATATACTGTCTGATGGCTGTATCAAACGCATTCATGAAGTCAACAACAGTAGTTACTGCATCAGTTGAAACAAATGTGTTAGTGTCTGAGAGTGGTATCAGTCAGTTATTTATCTAGACTGCCTTTGTTGATACATGAATAAATAGTGAGTGAGAATAGTATTTTACCACTAAATGGCCATATATTCAGGAAGGGATGAAACTTCATTAGATTTGAAAAATCATAAGCTTTCCAGTGACTGAGTTTAAAAATAATGTTGATTCATAATACATGTACATGAAAATGTCCTACCATTGACATGATTTGGACTAAGTCTGAAACAAAGTGGTGGGAGTGTTGCTTTTAGGGGGACCTGATTTCATTCAGAGTCTTTTGGGCATGTAGAGAACCAGTTGTTTCCTGGCACTTGATTGGTCTTGAGCTGATGATAAACCTTCTGTAATTGGGTGGTTTGAAACATATACTGTAGATGGCAGTTATACCTCATTTAGATGTGCAAAAGGACTATGGGGTGTGCATCAACTTCACATTTCTTGAAATTGGCTATAATGGCTTTCAAGCTATCAGGAGTGTACATGTCTCTGATTTATGGGACAAAAAAGCCAAAATTGTACCATTTACTATTTAACTGAGTTAAGCTGTGGACTGGAAGGTCTCCAAACTTCTCACAGTCTTGCTGGCACAGTGATTGAGCTCCCCTTCCTCTGTCTGGAGGTTTGCCAAGTGCACTTTAGTCTTTAGATGTCTGTTCTACCTTATCAACCTTTATCTGAGGAGAGAACTGCTGTGTACGAAGTTCGGACTCAGTCTACTGAACTCTGCTTCCTTCAGACATTGGCTCCCTCCATCTCGGGGCGAAGTCAGCGGGCGGAAAACCCGAACTAGTCACAAACTGAACTGTATTGTTGCAAAGACTCAGCGCTACCGCAACAGTTCCATCCCATATATTGTTAGCCTACTAAATAAGTAATCGAGCGTACTCGGTTACGACCTTCCAGTTATTGAGGGGTAATTAACTGTCATGCCTTAATAACACGTATTGTTTAGTAGCCTTCTTCATGACCACTGTTTTACCTCGAATTCGTAATCTTAATATGTATCTTATCCAGCAATGTAAACTTATTAACATTTATAACTCTACTAGATTTTATCATATGTGTATATGTTTGTAATAGATGTTGTTCGATTTTAAAGCTTTTAATGGGTTGTAATTGTAAGTAACAGTGCAATTCAGAACCCCTGGGTTCTGCAAAACTGTTTTACGTCGTTATCAATAAACCAGTCATATATCTGAGGGTGTGTGTTGATTATAACATGTGGTCTCTGTCTTGGTTACCCAAATGTCACTGAATATTGATTAAGCAAGTCCAATGTTGTGAATATTATCTGCTCAATATCTAGCGTACTGGATTGACTCGACTTGACATATGATCTTGTTTTCAAATACACTAGATTTTAGAAAGATTGATATTGTTGACAAAGCTGTTACTAACGGTATTCATATATTTTACTCTAAGGTTTCTCGAATACAAATGATAGAGACTAGTCTACAGCATGAAGTGCACATTAAACAATGTAATTTATTTGTTTAGACTTTTATGTTATTCATATTCACTCAATATGCTGTCTGTATTTTTCCAGGTTGTATACAGGACTATCCAGCCAGCGGAGACAAACCTTGACCTCTCCTATCTGGCAAAGTCCAACAGCCCCAAGATGAAAGCCTACGGCAACCTGGAGTTCACCTGCAACGAGGTGTCTCCCCTCGACCCCGTGACCTTCCTCACGCCCGAGTCCTACCTCGAGTTACCGACATGGACGGCAAAGCAGACCGGGACGATATCCTTCGATTTCCGCACGAAAGAGGACAACGGCTTGTTGATGTACAACTTTGGAACTGTAGAGCAACCGGACTTCTTTGCCTGCGAACTCTTAGACGGCCATCTTTATGTCATGTTTGACCTTGGGTCAGGGCCGGTGAAGGTGAAGGCTACCCAGAAGCCCCTGAATGACGGAGAGTGGCATCACGTGGACATCCAGCGAGACGGCCTGAGCGGCATGGTCGTGGTGGACTCACGACTCAGCAAGTTTTCTGTACCCGCCGGTAGCTCCCAGTTAGGGCTCAACAGTAAGCTGTATGTCGGCGGATACGGCACCAGCTGGAGCGCCCTACAGCTGCCGAAAGAGATCTGGTCAGGCAAGCTGTACTACGGCTTTGTCGGTTGCATGAGGGACATCTACATGGATGGGCGCAGCCTGGATATAGCAGCGATCGCCAAGCAGCAGGGCGCAGTGGGTGTGGGGTCGTACTGCCGGCCCATGGTGGACCAGTGCAGCAGCAGGCCTTGTCAGCAGGGAGGGAAGTGCAAGGAGGGGTGGAACCGCTACATCTGTGACTGCTCCAAGACGGTCTTCTCTGGCAAGAATTGTGAAAAGGGTCAGTGTTCTTTCTTTAACTCTTTATCGAATATATAGCACAAGATACAACACAGGATTGAAAATGGCTTTCCCTGTCCCTAGTGCTGAAACAGTTACTGTTATGCTGGCATTACCATCCCTGCCCCTGTTATAGTGACAGACATTCACACAGACACTGAAGGTCTGTGAAGAAGTGTGAAAAGGTTCCGTTTTCTTTTTTTAATCTTTATCCAATATATAGCACAAGATACGACACAGGATGGATAATGGCTATCCCTGTCCCTGGTTCTGAAACAGTTACTGTTATGCAGACTTTGCCATCCCTGTCTCTGTTATAGTGACAGACATTCACACAGACACTGAAGTTAGCTTACTGAATGGGACCCACTTGCATGTCAAAATGTACAGCTTTAGAAGAGATTAGAACATTACAGTGAGAAAGAATAACAATTAACAATCATACAAAACTCAAGATAAAAAAACACATTTTATCTGCAAACATTGTCTTTGAAAAAGAGATAAATTTTTTTAAATATCATAATATAGACTACAAATATATCTACAAAAGATTTGTTTCTTCACAATCAATTTTTTTTCACAATCAATTTTTTTCACAATCAAAAAGAATCTGATAATATTGTTTATGCAAAGGCAATTTCTAGTATATGATATGGAATCCCATTATCTATCCACCCATTTGCAGGAATATTATGAGGAGGCCCCAGACATTATACAATACAATGTGTAGCTATGATGGTTTGAGAACAGGTGTATTTCAAAAGCCCACTCAGGGCAAATGTACATGTACATTATACCACAAAGGCAGACATTTTATGTCTCCCCACATAAATGGGAAACTCTAGTGATCCTAGGGGTCACATGACATACTGACGTAACAGCGATACGTCATCCCTGCCGTCACAAATTTTGCATCCACCGTGCAGCGCCCATCAGAGCAAATCATCCCCGCTCCTGTCAGTCAATTAACCCAGGGGTAACCTGATTCACCTGCAGCCGTGGAACAAGTGAATCCGTTTAGAACGCTTGTGCAAATTAGCTTACATCAAGTGTCGTGTAGAGTCATGTAGTGGGTGGGGGAGAGAGGACAGCTATAACAGCAATTATGTACAGTACTTTTGATCCCCTTTGCAAAAGTCTTGTGAGGATTGGTCAAAATGTTATTATTTTAGTGTCATTTCATCCATGTTGAAATTTAATTGTCACTGTCTTTGAAGGATTTGAAACATTTTATTCAATATATTGAATGGTACATCGGTGAAGGTTAGACATCCAAGTAATAAGATATGCCAAAAACTGTTTTTTTTGGGCATATTTTGAAGGATATTTTATGTCAGCAAGGACCAAGACACACACACACACGCACACACACACACACACACTGGTGTGGTGTCTAGACGCTTTAATTATCAGTAAAAATACAACAGCACTATCTTCAACCCCCATTTTCAAGTCTGCTGACCTTCAGAAGAACATAGCAGGAGCTGCCTCTCTACGCATTAGTTAGAAATTAAGGGCTTAGACATGAGCTGGACTGATGTCGGTGTGTGTGTGTGTGTGTGTGCCGGTGCATGGCTGCTGCAAGCCGATAAGCCTTGTACCATCAGAGCTGTAGGCAGATTACACGTGGTAACGACCACCGAACAATCAATACTCCAGTCCAGCGCACCTTAATGAGAATTGAATGAGATGCAAATGTGGTCACCTTTTTCTCTTGGTTTGGTACAAGTCAAAACTCCCGAGGCTATGTGCAAATGCTCCACGGGACGGGGCTACTGATGGATGACTGGGCTACAGTAATTGATCCGCATCATATGCCGGAGCAAGGCAGCTCCAAGCTTCAATCTTTCATGAGCCGTCAGCTCAGATCCAGTCTCAAAGTTAGCATTTCAAATCATCTTATCCTCCGGTTGTCAGCGTCGCAGCGGCAGCTTCACATATATCTGCATTGTCTGTTGTTGTTAGGTGTACAAACTTGAGACGAGCCGCCCGATTGGTGTGTAATGACTCCAGATCACCGTACCCTGATGGAGTAGTCTCTTAGAGGATTTGTCTCTAACAAGTTCTGACAACAACCATGGACTCACACATATGTAGTCTGACAGCTATTTCCATATTCACTCTTTGGGAGTATCAGAGAAGTCAAAACGTGGCGACTGCAGTTCTCCCAGTTTGTTGGTATCGTCCCAGCGTGAACTCCCTCTACCCTATCTTTTCCACTGGAGAGTTACGGTAGTAGCAGTGCAATGAACCAATGATGGATGGTTGTACCTTTCATGGTGACTTTGCTAGTGTAAGTCCCATCCATCAGAGAGGTTTATGGGTCAGTGCACGTTACTTGTTAGCAGTTATTCACGGCATTAGCAGTATCACTGATAACAGAGACCAAGGACAGTATCATAAACAACACGATGATGTTTTAGGGATAGCAATGATAACATTATGTATAACAGAGCCTCTTTAGAAACAAAATTATGAAAATCATAACTCATGAATTTTTTATATGAACTGTATAATTTGTTTCTTAACAATAAGACAGACATCTGCAGTTTAGAAGGAAGCTGTCAGGAGGCCCAAAGCTTCTTTCTGAAGTCCAAGACTTTCCTGGGCACAAACATCTTGCAATTGTTTATAAACTTAAGAGAAATACAGACTGTTCACCAAATGCTAAAATAGCCTCAAAGCTAATACTCATTGTCATTGTCCAAGGTCAGGACACAGACAAGAAATCAGGAAAATTCATCCCTGATGTACTGAAATATCACAAAGTGGTCTAGACTTGTTTCCTTTGTCATTAATATTCATTGAACAAAATTTGAATGTGGAGTGTACTCTTGCTGGTCTTCCTGGACAGCATAATAATTATTTTATTTTTATAATCGTTATCTTCTTTTTTCCTTTGATGGGAAATGAAGTTTCCCTTTGACGTCAATCACGATGAGATTAGGTAATTGCCTGTGTAGCATACATTCCCAGAAGATAATGGACCCTTTAAAGTCATGGCATTCATTTAAGTCCCTCCCTGCTTTGTACGTCATACGTAACCAAATACGGTAATGTCCTCCAGAAGGAGATACCTTTCCTATAATTCATGTTGCAAAATGAGATTTTCACCGGAAAACTCCCACACCTTCTATACACGTTGGCTTCATTTTCCGTCATCCCATATATATACATGCTCAGAGTCAAACACAAACCTATGCATGATAGTTGCCATTTCAGATGTATGACTTCCTTTGGCAGAAGGTCACGTCTCTTTGACTCCAACATGGCTGATTCAGCTGAGATAACCATGATCCTGACACCTCCGTGTGAAGCATCAACCTACATTGTGTGTTCGGAACTCTCCCTTGCACTCTGTAGCAAAAGATTTTAACTTATCGCTTCATCCGGCACAAATTTCCAAGGGGGGCAATCTCGGTTTTCAATGGAATGACGCATGTGCATTTAGTTGCGGGTGTGGAGATAGAAAAGTAGCATGATTCATGATGGTATCTCTGTGCATTCAGGTCAGCGTCCATGTGCTTTCATACGGGATTACCGCATTATGGGGATGACTGCTTGTACGTGTATTAGTCGGCATTAAAGTCTACTCAATGCCCTCACATGATTTTCCCATTTGCATTCAGTAGTCAATACTGCTGCATTTTTTTGCCAACTATTCGGATCAAAGATGGCCTGTGTCATTTGCAGTGACATGTAATATGATGGCAGCATCTAAGGTCTAGTAAGTCACTCATTATGCAATGATATTCATCGTGACAGCCTAAAAATATCTGAGCCACATCAATGAGATTTCTCCCTTGGAAGGTTCTGAAAGAGTTTAAACATCACCCCATGATCACCCAGGGTTCCCCAAGGACAACTTGATGATGCTCCTGTGTGGTTTCCACTTCCCTCGCTAGGACCCTTCCCGGGGTAGAGTAACAAGGATTGCCATCCTTCATCAGACATGGTGTTCCCATGAGATGCCTCATTTTGTCTGAAGTTTCTTTCTGTCTATAGAGCAGTCTATAGTTTTCCAGAACAGCACATGTCATTGCTCTGTTGCCCAATATGCACACAAGCACAGTCTGTCCTATTGAATTTTCTATGTGCAATGTACATGTGCCTTAGCTGTCAATCGTAATCCAATCTTTCGAATAAAAGTCAGACGTCATGAAAATAAGAACACATCGTCTTTGTACATTCGGTCTGCTCTTTTCTGACACTAACTTCCCCATGGTGATTACCTGATCTTGTGCTTGCTACAAAGCTAGCTCAGCCCCTTCCCTTGCTATACCTTTTCACAACCATTCCAATGGCTTGGTTGACTTGCTATACTACCAACATCAAGCACTTTTGAAGTTGAATCTGCTGTCTCCCCAAACAATCTGCCTTCTCTCCGCAGAATGCTGTGCCCTTCTCTTCACCTCTCTTTCACATAGTGCGGTTATTTCAGATTTGCCATGTACATACTACCAGCTTTTCAGTAGCTTGTGTTTGAGGTAGATGTAGATGGCATGCTTACCGCAGCCCTATGTGTTTTTTGATGGTTTTGATACATCCTTCACCTTCTCTTGAGTGCTATCATTGTAAAATTGCATATCCTATTGCCTTGAACTGTGCTACTGGTCCTTTTGTACCTTAAGTCTGCAGTAAATCACTGCAGCACAGGTTTTTCCACTGCAGCAGCTGCAGTTGTTGAAGATAATCCTTGCATCGAAGCACGACTCATGCCCATACAGGTACATACCGGTAATGGGGCATGGTGTTGACTTTGCAGCCGTAAATTCCCACTCACAAGGCAAAGGATCGTTTCTGATGCACGACTGCATCTTACATCTTGTCACAATGACCTTTTCTAAATTCTGTCATGCCTTTCAAATTGAACATCACAAGTATGTGATGATCCTTTGTAGGAATCTTTCCTGGCATGGCAGAGAATGGCATTCTCCGTATGCTGTCTAGTTATTATCATTGGGATGCATGTTGACATCCTAGATTGCATGCCAAGTCGCA